CTGAAAATTTTGGAAAAACAAGTTACGGGTTTGTGCCCAAAACCCCCCCAAACCCGACCGATTTAATTATTTTCTCTCAATTAAATACCTATTCATCATTACCAATCATATAGTAACAATTTAGGATCATAAAACGCAAATTCTACGACTTCCGATTTTCATCCAAAATCTTAACCTCCAATTGTCCAAAAATGTCAAAACTCACAAATTCAACCAAATTCAATCAAACAAAATCCAATAATCACGGCTAAACATTACCCGACTAAACTACGTAATTTATTTCGAGTTTCATCCGCAAAAACATTGGTTTCTATCGATTAAACTCATTTCTGCCATAAAATGGAAAATGAGCAAAAACTCTCCAACAATCCAAACCAATTCAACAAACACATACATAATCATACACATTGATAGAATAATAAGATTTCACACTCTTACCTTGATTAATCGGAAGCTAGAAATCATTCTGATGATTCCAAGCTTTTCCTCTGTTTTCTCCCCTTCTCTCTTCTGCCTTCTTTCTTTCTCTTCTTTTTCCTTTCTCTCTATTTCTGTCTTTTTCTTTCCACTTTCTCTTACATATCCTTCTCTTTTATTTCTCCTCAATACATTTCTTCTCTCAAAATATCTACCAATTCCTTTAAGTAATCATCCAATAATTTCAATAAATCAATTAATTAACATAAATAATTAATTAATGAAAATTGGGCTGTTACACATATCAGCACCCAACAAACTGTTTCCGTCGCACCTCACAAACTCGACCTATCTCCCTCCGCCGTCGCAACCGACAACCTCACACGAACCTCAAACAATCTTAAATCCCTCAAATCCTCAACATCAAAACCCAAATAGTGATTCCAAACATAGAGAAAGAGGAGAGGAAGTGAGTGAAATCCAAAACAAAGAAACAAGCAGAGAGAGACACGGTGAAGAAGAAGCCATTATCATTTGAAGAAATCGCGAGAGTTTTGAGGGAGTCTCGAGAGAGGTAGAACGCAATTTAAAAGAGAAAATTTCTTTCCTTTTCATGATTGGTTTTGCAGTGGCTAATGTAGGGTTCACATAACCCGTTTTCCTTTACAAGCATGACGGGTTGATCCAACAACCCATGTGTCACTCACCTAGTTTGGGCCTACATTTTCATTCTTGACCCATGTGTTTTTTTGTGCTTTTTAATTGTTTTTGTTTTAATCTTATTTAATATGTTCAATATTTTTTTTTTGTTTGCTAGAAAAATATTTTATTGATTAATTTGACTTAGTATTTAGTTATTGATTTATTTTAAGTTAATAATTTAAATATTAATAATAATTAGGTTAATTAGTTTAGTTTTTTTAATCAAATAAAAACAAAAATAATTATTATTTTCTTTACTTTTTCTTTATAGTATTTTATTAATATTCGACTTAGGATCGGAGTCGCCGTACTCTGGGTAATCGTCCCGCCGTGGACATTCCCTTTGTTTACCTTTGCCATAAGACTTGGAGTCGTCGTGCTCTATTTAGTCGTCCCGCCGTGGACATTCCTTTCCTTGCTAACTTAACTTTGGTTTAGAGTTTTCGTAATCTATGTAGGTGTCTCGCTGCAGACATTTACTTTTCCCTTTAGAACCTTGACCACAGTCAAGAGTTCCTCACCCCTTTTGAGGGGAACTACGGTTGTCTGGTTCCATTCCCGTCAGGATACGTAGGCACAAGATGCGATGTCTTGGCGAGCATACTTTATATATTCCCTTAGATATTTACTTTAGCATAACTCCCTTAGCAAACAAACTTTAGCATGACAAAAATTCTAACAAGAGGTTCCTGTAGAGTACTACAAATACTTAGGATGCTAACACCTTTCCTAGGTATGACCAACCCTCGAACCTTAGATCTCTTAGCTGTGTTGTTACATAGCGCACTTAGGGTTTTCTTCGATATTTACCTTTTCCTTTAGATAAATCAAAGCTCGGTGGTGAACTTCATGATTTGTAATTCAAGTTAATTTAATAGCTTGATATTCGATTCTCACCGCAACAATGATTATTTGAAATGTTTAGGTTTTCATCAGTTTCTAAATTAGTTGCATTTAGCAGTGAAATGTTTATTTTGTATCAGTTGAACCTTAAAAAATTATGTTGTAGTGAAATGATTTGGTTTGTATCAGTTGAATCTTGTGCCATTTAGAAGTGAAATGCATCGGTGAAAATTTTGTTTAACTTGTTCAACACATAATTTTACCATAACACATAATTATTATAACACATAATTGTTCAACATATAATTTCTAAACTCTTGCTCAACATAAAATTTTACCATAACACATGATTGTCATTAACATATAAACTTGTTTAAAACACATTACAACATGATATCCATAACCATTACACAAAATAACAACATTCCAAAATGACATCCATAACCATAACACAAAATGACAGTATACCAAAAGTGGTTCCAAATACACTTAATACCATTAAACAACATCTTAAATACATCTAAGATATTTTCTTGGGTGTGGTCCTCTTAGTTGGAGTTGTCCTCCTTATAGTTGGGTCAATCACATTCTTGGCAACACTTAGTCTTATAGTAGGTCCAGGAGAAACAAAAGGTGTTGATGGCCTCCTAACACCCAACTTACTTGGTCTTCCTAGTGTTGATTGTTGAGTAACAGGTGTCCCTCTAGTTCTTGGCAGTTCATCCATGGCTGGTAGTAAACTCTGCAACACAACAAACAACATCAATACAAAGCATAAGAGAAAACCATCTTCACAGAAATCAATGAATTCAATTTAATAATGTTCACATACCTTTTGTTGATTTGAAATGAATTTGTATGTGATACATTCATTTTTTCCCCAAGGTCATCGATAATTAACTCCAAAAACCATGTCCAACTATCTCTATTTTTCCTTCCACCACTGCAAATGCTACAGGTAGCATTTGATCATTTGTATCCCTACCTATAGCAACCAGAATTTTCCTTCCGCATAACCCCTTAAGAAAATAACCATCAAGTCCTATGACATGCCTAGAAAACTTGAAGCTTTCCTTACATGCTACAAAGCATATATACAACCTTTTGAAATATGGTCTTTGATCATCTAAATCTTCTTGAGCAGGTTCAACACCAAGCATCACTATGGATCCCGAGTTCGCTATTAACAACTCATGACAATAATCATAAATTCTGGTGTAATCCCTTAAAAACGATCCATCAACCATATCTCAAGCTTTAAGCCTTGCTCTTATTACCTTAGTTTTGTTCACACCTACATTCCATTTCTTTTGTGCCTTTGCCTTTATATCCTTTATTTTCATCCTAGAATTGATTTTTAATGAGTTTTGGATCCTCTTGCTCAACTTCTTGGTAGTTATCATCTTCACATTATAATCCCTGCTACAACTATGTACACCATTCACCTTCCTTAATTGCCAAGATTCTTCATTTGACAATTCAACACAATAAGTTTCCCAATCACATCCATCCTTACATTTTACCCTCACCCTTACCTTGTTATTTTGACTGAACTTAAGATTTCTACCACTGTGGACATCATATGATGTTATTGCCTCCTTAAAATCATCTTTTGAACTAAAGTACACTCCTGCCTCCCATTTGAAATCATCAGTGTCCTTTTGCATCTTAAACATTGGGTGAACCTTTTTTTTTGAACACCACAACTATCACCACTATGATGAATTCTTAGTACTAGAAACTCGTCCATTTCGCCTAGTCAGTTCAAAATAAAGATTAATAAGCAAACTGTTACGACACCTTAAAGTTATAAAAAATCTAAATTTGAACCACTATAAGAAGAAAAACATGCAAAGCCCTAAAAGTACCGTTCTCATATTGAAAACATAAAAACCCCTAAATTTGTAGCATTATCTAAACGAAAACATGATAATCTATGAAAACATTAAAAGCCCTAATTTCTACCACTATCAGAACTGATACAAAACATCAAATTTCTAATCTGTTTACAACGATGATTTCAAACGTTCGCTCGGCCTTCGATCTCGCTTTCAGGAACACATGTAAAACGATGGATTTCGCATTTACTTTCTATTGTTCTTCACAACATTTTCTATTGTTCTTCACTTCACTTTCTGAAAATGACTTTTTTCGTAATAGTGAATAATATAGCATGTTATAGCCATGTAAGCCATCAATTAAGCCACGTTAATGGAAATATACGAAAGGACTAACGTGCTCCGTTTTTAATACTTAAGGGATCAATTTGAACATTTTAAAAATTAAGCGACTCAAAATGAACCCCGAGATAAAATTAAGAGACGAAAAATGGTATTTTGCATATATATATATATATATATATATATATATATATATATATATATATATATATATATATATATATATATATATATATATATATATATATATATATATATATATATATATATATATATATATATATATATATATATATATATATATATATATATATATATATATATATATATATATATATAAAAGTGGGAATCAACTTACTCCAAAAGTAAGTTTTTATAACTTACTTCACAATCATAACTTTTAAATTAGATTTAATCGAATGAATATAAATAAAAGTGCTAATTTAACCACTAGCTTAGATTCAATTTAAAGACTATGATGTATAGATTAAAAAAACTTACCTTGATCTCCAATATATATATATATATATATATATATATATATATATATATATATATATATATATATATATATATATATATATATATATATATATATATATATATAATTTTTTTTTAAAATTTTTACTCAAAAAAGAGTAAAATTGTCTTGGTGATAGAGGTCACGTTTAAACGACGTCGTACAAACACGATTACCAAATTTCTCAAAATCCACCATCTTCTATATACACCGTCTTTTTTCTAAACCTGCGTTTCAAAAAAGAATCGTTTTTATTCTCCATTCTACAAAAAAAAAAAAAACCTAAAAAACTGAAGAAGCAGCAAGAGAATAATCGAAGTTAACATCACTGCATAACAATGGCAGAAAAACCCCAACCGGTTCGGGTATTATACTGCCAGGTTTGCAGTTTACCCCCTGAGTATTGCGAATTCGGATCCGATTTCGATAAATGCAAACCCTGGTTGATCCAAAATGTACCCGATTTATACCCTAATCTTCTTAACGGTATGGATTTCTCACATAATCAAACCAATTCATCTTTCCCAATTTAATTTCGATTTTTTTCAATATTTTAATGTGATTTATTTATTTTATTTTATTATCTTCATCATAATTGTTATTGTTGCTATTGTTGTTGTTTTTGTGTAGAGGCAAACGAGAAGGAAGCTGATAAAGTTGCTGATAAGTTACAAGCTACTGGTATATCTTCTGCTTCTAGTGCTGGTGCTGCTTCTTCAGGTTTGTTTTATTTATTTTTTGTTATTTTTCAAAAAAAAAAAATGTTATTGAACATCAATTTGAGATAACAGAAAGTAACTAGATAGCTTTTATAATAATCAATGCAGTTCAGTCACTTGGTTAATTAAGTGTTTGATATGGTTGATAAATATATCAGGTTTTGTGTTGCAACTTATTAGCTATGTACTGGACTTTTAGTCAGAGTAGTCATTCCCGGACTGCGGCATGGAGGCCGACCCCAAAAGTGGTATAGTGGGACAGCGTATAGTGGAATGACCACTTTATTTGATAATTTTTTTTTGGAAAAATTACATATAATGATTATAAACATTTATTTAATGTAAAATTAAACAAATAACTCAACTCATAAATATTCATAAATCAAAGCACACATGACCCTTGAAGTGCATAAACGACTATCAAGGAAGGTTAAGTTTGAGTCTCAACTCAAATTTGATTGAAAAACTCAAAATACTTAAAACATTGTAAATTTAAGGGGTAATTTCGGTGTTTTAGAGGGGAAGAGGATAGCATTAGCAGGCCAGGAACCGCGCTGCTCTGCTATCCTAGTCTATAGTAGTTTTCTGCACTGCTAAGTATCTTCCCATAGTGTTCAGCCTCTGCTCCGCTACCGCTATTAACTACCCTGCTAGTAGTTCAAATACCTGGAATTATGGTAATAGTGTTCAACTTTGATGGTTCATGTAGTATTCAATCTTGATATACCCATTAGCCACTTATTGAACTGTGTTACCATTTGAGAAGTTGTCGGATTTTGCTGTCCCAACTTTGATGGTTCATGGTTAATGGTGTTTCTCTTTTTATTTTTTTATTTTTTATGCTTTAATAACCTATTGCTTGGCAATTGGTGATTATTATTTGATTCCCTATGTTGTTATTTTAACAGGGAAGCCAGAAGAGGTTAAACGCCTTCCAGGTGGGAAGATAAAGAAGAAGGCATGCTTTGGAATTCTAAAATGCAATTTTCACTTGATGTTATATGTTCATGATTACAATTACAATCATTTGATTGATGCTATCAGCTGTGGTTTTTCCTTTTCAGGACAAGCAAGAGGTTATAATTGAGAAGGTTGTACGTAACAAACGAAAATCTATCACCACCGTTAAAGGCTTGGAACTTTTTGGTAAGTTGTATTTTTCATTCTCTTAGGTTTTGTTTGGATATCTAGCGATGATGTGTAGAATGGAATGAAACTGAAGAGGACTGAGAAATAATGAATGAAATGGAATGGTAGGAGATTATTAACAAAAAGTATTTCAGCCCATACTTAAATTTTTTTTTTTTTTTGGGATGAGAGATGATCAAGGTATTATATGGAATGGAGTGAAATAGATTCTATGAAGTTCTACCCAAAATCGGAAACTAATCTCATTCCATTTCTATTTATTCTCTATCTTTATATCTATGTTGCTCGCATTGTTGTTAAATATTCGGTATAGTGCCGGTATACCGGTATTGCGTATCGGAATTTTGGCTATCCGATACGAAAGCCGGTATAACATTTCAATTTCGCGATGCTCGCGATATCGGAAGCCATGTTTTTATTATTTTTTTTAATAATAAATCATTTTTAAAAGCATTAAAGGGGTAAGGTGGAGAGGTGGAAAAGTAGAAACATTAAAGAGGTTAAGGGGTAGAGGTGGAAAAGTAGAATCTAAAGATGTGGAAACATTGAAAAAGGAAAATGTGGACTACTGAGTCACCGCCTAGTATTATACAACACTAGAAAGAGTCTTTGAGGATGAGAACAATGAGGATGTCCTTAATTGGGAAACTGTTTATTGAGCTTTAGGAGTTGGAGAGCCTAGAAGATATACCAGGTAAACAACTAAAAAGAGAAACGAAACTCCCAACCCTAATGTTGTAGGCACTTCATCTAAAACAAAGAAGTCGGCAGGTTCTTCATCTAGGATGGGAAAGCAACAAGTGATTGAAGTGGAAGATTATGTCATCGAAGAATCAGAAGTAGAATTTGAGGATATTGATTCAGATGATTCAATTGAAGAAGCTGAAGGATATGCCTCACTATCTCAAAAGGAGAATAACGATTATGTTGGGAAAGGAGAAAAGGAGAATAATTAAATCTTTTATCATTAGTTAGACTTAGAAGAACTACTAGTTATTAGTTTGAACAATTTAACTTTTTGAGTTTTAATTCCTTTTAAATTTCTGTTTGTAGCTTTTCTGTTTTAGTTATTGGATTTGAAATTTTCAATTTAAATTTTCAGCTTTGAGTTTTTATTTCTGTTTTAACCGCTTTGCGACTTCCAATATTTGCCTGCTACGCGATCCGATATTTTTCATATCGGTTTTTTGGTGATCCGATATTTTCCGATATTGATATTTGACAATACTCGGATCTAGTATGGTGGAGTACATGGTTTTCCAAAAATCTAGGTAACTTTAAGGTAACATGAAACTATATGTATACCTCAGAAGAAGACCTAGATTTTAGAGGATAAAGAACTTGAATTACCTAAATAAAAAACTAGAATTGGTACTGAATTGCTACTCTGTCACTTGAATCTGAAATTTGGGGAGGGGATATATACACTATACAAAGCAAAAAATAGGGTAATTTGACAAAAGGAATGGGGAAAACCATTTTTCATGTTTTTTACTAAACATTCCTAGAATCTATTCGGCTGCGGGTACAGGTTTGCAACTTTGTCGATATATCCAAATAAAATCCATGTCCAGGTGGTACCCTCATTTTCCCAAATTTGATACTCAGTTATTTCTTTCTAGTTGATTTTCTTTTTTCGAATGTACGAGATAAGTATCCATGAGTACCCAATGGGTACCGGGTACAACTATCTGCCCGTTACATGTGTGGCTTTAATTTTGGAGTACCTTTTATTGCATTTTAGGTGTCAAGCTCAGTGATGCTTCAAAGAAACTTGGGAAAAAGTTTGCTACAGGAGCTTCTGTCGTCAAGGTTTATTGGCTTATCCATAATGGAAACATATTGTTGCTTAGTAGTTGTATATAATGTCTTATACTAATTTTTTGATTGGTGTCAGGGCCCAACTGAGAAAGAACAAATTGATGTTCAAGGGGATATATCTTACGACATTGTGGAGTTCATTACAGATACATGGCCTGATGTGAGTGGTTTTTATTGTCTATTGTTTGACATTATAATTTAACTTAATATGTACCCCTGGTAGTGGTAACCACTGAACAGTACTATATAAAAAATGAAGCTTTATCATTTTTAGTAGTATAATTTCTGTTCTTATTTGCTTGTTCATATGTGGAAGAGATACTGGTGGATGTTTTATTTAGGTTAGTTATTAGCTAGGGAAATGTGTTATTTAAAATAGCAATCTGTCTTTGACACCAGCCTATGTGATTTATTGAACATTTAATCAACCTGTGATATAATTGCTGAATGGAGCCAATTGGTAGATTTTATTATGCTGGGTTTGTTGTTTATGGTTATGAAACCCAGAGGAAACACATCCAATGATCATGCATAAACAAGATAGTTAATCCATACTAGTGAGCCTAGGAAAATATGAATCTATGACTGAAAGAGTTGATGAGCTTGTGCAACAGTATCTTCCATGGTTTAATCTGTTTCATAATCTGATAGGATACTAGATTTGGGACGTAGTCCAATAGAGGCTGAACAGGGAAATAGGAATGATGTGGCAGTATTCTGTTAGCAGAGTTTCTGTAATAAGAGACAGGAAGGGGAATTTAATTCATCTTATGTTTAAACATAATAAATAGTTGGTCCTCCGCAAGAAATTTAATTCATCTTATGTTAAAAAATTCTAAATTTTAATAAATGAATTTTTTATAATGTTTGTTATAAATCATTAAAAAGTTTTTAAGAGTTTAAGGATAGTTATACAATATAATTTTTAGTGGGAACTAAAACTACTCCCAAAAAAACTTGAAAGACCAAGAAAAACTTAAAATGGGCTAAACTTAGAAAGTGCTTATCTTTTAGGAGCAAAAATCATATTAACCCAAAATGCAAATAGTTCTCTTTATCCCAAACCTAGCTAACTCTTATATAATTTGAAAATCTATCTTCTTTCTGCAGGTTCCGGAAAGAGCAATTTTCTTTATAGAAGATGGGAAGAAGGTTCCAGCTGCTTGATTTTGAGTATTTATTAAAAGGCTCTAAACTGGTCGTTAGAATCAGCTATAATTATGTATTTTGAAGGGAATGGCTGAGTGATTTGGTATTTAATGTTTAAACACTACTTTTAGCCATTGAAGCCCTCCTTTTCTCCCCCCATAACAAGTATTAGGGCATAATACAACATATATTTTCAGTTACACTATGTTCAATCAGTTGTGTGCGAATAGATGCAATAGGATGAAAAAGGTTTATTTACTTCAATTTTGCACTATTTTCTGAAATTATGCACTTTACTTTACCCATTTCTGCTTGCAAATTGCCAACTTCAACATACACATTTTTTAACAACCTTGTCGAATATTAATCTGTATGTTTAGAATTATTAAGCTCTTTCACTATAAGTTTAGATATAACGATATTAGAAGGAACTAGAGTGGGTGTATCTCATGAGAAATCGAATAGCATGCTGATGAGAATAATATGTTTTAACTAAAAGATAGCATCCCAAACATGGATCTTCCAAACGTGTAATTATATTCTCGAAGGATAAAAATACAAGATGCTTAAACATTGCACCCATCAACATCGTTTGGAATTCTTTGCTCCACTAAAATGGCTGATTGTAACGTCCCATGTTACTTTCAGAGCTACCAATTTTCCCCACAAACCTAACATAATTATTGACTTTCAGAGCTACCAATTTTCCCCACAAAAACCTAACATAATTATTTTCAGTATGTCTTTGTCCACAATTTGTATAAAACTTTTGAGAAGATCATCCATCTCTGAATTACTCCAAGTCAAATTTACCACAAAAATTTATTTTGATTTTGGGTGTTTACAAAAACTTTAAGTTACCCGTAAAAAAAACAACTATAAATCAAAGCAACTAAAATTAATTTTCATTAATCAAAAGCAGTTAATTGTATGATAGTATATAAGAATCATGATCAGTTCCAATTAAAACTAATCATCAACGTATTCAATACCACTAAACTAATAAAAACCTAGCAACATGAGTTTTATCAACTCACATAGCAAAACGCCATATACCACAATTTTTACAAACAACAAACTACACCAACTCATTTCTTAAATATAAGTTTTATTCTCATGAGCGTCTATGAAGTACATCCCTGTAACGTAGAATGGAATCAAGCCTTTCCATCCTAAGTTGCTGCTTAAACCTTTTTATAAAATCATCAGCCTTTGCATCCACTTCCTCCTCTTCCATTTCTGATCCAACTTTCTTCTCCTCCTCCACCTTTACAGACTTCAACCGGCCAAAATTCCCCGACATGAGCCGTTCCAAGAGCAACGGAGCTCTTGGTAGCGGATTCACAATCAACTTATCCATACCAAGGTCTGTGTCATTCGATTTGGTCTGGTTCAATACAGTCTGGTCGAGTCTGTTCAAGTTTTGATTTTGAACAGATTCGATCTGACTTTCCACCGACGTTGTTGGTGGTTTGAATTTACAGCAACCTAGTCCAAATGACGTCACTCGATCAAAAAACGACGACGTGGGAGGGCCTAGTTGCGGCGACGAGTCAGGTTGATTTTTTCTCTGAGTGGCGAATCGAGAGGTAATAGCAATGGTGCCGATGACAAGGTTTACGATCAGGAATATACAGGAGGGACTTATAATCCATCTTGCAATTATATCATATGCTGAAACTGAATCTTCTTCACTCATACTGATAAAAAATAACTTGTTTTCTTCAAAAGCAAAATAGAAGAAAAAAACTTAATAATGTTTTCTCTATAAATAACTCAGAGTTGTTAGAGTATGAAAATTAATGGTGGTGCTGTTTTGCTAGCTATTGTGAAGTGTGTGTCTTTATATAAAAAAATGAACAGTTTATAAAATGAAGTTGACGTTTACTTCTTTTATTACCAGTTGTTTCTTTTTTAATCTAAATATTAAATTTCAACGTCAGGTGTTCCATGAGTGCATGTGTTTTTATTCAAAAATAATGATCTAAAGTAAAAGGAATCGTTAGTTTCATTTTTGTTAATTGTTTCCAAAATACACTACGCCAGATTTGATTTTTAGCAGCGCACAAAAGACAGCGCTTTTAAAAAAAGCGCTGCTAAATAGTCAGTAAAAAAAAAGAAAAAAATTATCTACCAAAGACAGCGTTTTTTTAAAAAGCGCTGCTAAAAGGGGACCCTTAGAAAGCGCTTTTTAAAAGCGCTGCTAAAAGGGGACCCTTAGAAAGCGCTTTTTAAAAGCGCTGCTAAAAGGGGACCCTACGAGAGCGCTTTTTTTATAAAGCGCTGCTATTTGTCATTGCTAATGCACCCTATGAAAGCGCTTTTAAAAGCGCTGCTAAAGGCCTTTAAAAAGCGCTGCTAAAGGTATTAGTATAATAATTTTTATATACCCTCCAGAATTGTAAACGAAACAGAACACGCGTTTTTTCGTTTTCTTCTTCGTTTCTTCATTTCTCCATTGCCCTATCTTCCATTTTCGCCCTCCGTTGAAGCTTTCGTCGCCGTCCGTTTGCGCCGCCGTCTTCCATTTGTTTTCGCCGCCGTTCGCCGTTCCCTTTCGCCGCCGTTCACCGTTCGTTCTCCTCCACCGTTACGGTAAATCCGCGACTGTTACGACATTTTTATGGATTATTGTCTTAGTATTGCATTTTTCTGGATTAGATGATGTTAGTGCTACTTCTTTCTGAGTTATTGACTTATTTTTGTTGATACCATTGATGAGCATTACTCTTTTGATATTGGCTTGAGTTTTGTATGGAAGGTGTTTGTTGAAATGCCACAATGAATTTTGAGCTTTATAAATTAGTTTAGAATAATTTAGTCCATTACCAAAATTTTTGAGAGTATGCTTTAATAATTTAGAATAGTTTATAATCATATTAATGCAATAGTTTAGAATAGTTTAGAATAATTTAGTCCATTTCCACCATTTTTGAGAGTATGATTTAATAGTTTAGAATAGTTTAAAATCATATTAATGAAATAGTTTAGAATAGTTTAGAATAATTTAGTCCATTTCCACCATTTATGAGAGTATGCTTTAATTTAGTCCATGTCATTTTGAGCATTATAAAATAGTATAGAATAGTTTAAAATCATATTAATGAAAGTATGCTTTAATAGTAGAATAATTTATTATAGTATATCTACTTTTTTTTAATATGATTTGTTTTGTTGGATTATCTAGTTTTTTTGTTTTGGTTAATTATTAATATGATTTTAATAAAATGTATATATTGTCTGTTATAGGGGTTACCTGAGAAGAGCAAGGTTGTGATTGTTTCCAAGCATCCTACTGTACAACTTTCTTAGAAGTTAGTGATTTCTTTACAGGTATTCTCTGTTTTTGCCTAACTTTCATAGTATGGATAAAAATTGGATGTCTGTTAATCGATTGTCAAAAGAGTACGAGAATGGGGTATCGAACTTCGTTAAGTTTGCTGTTGAACACGCCAAAGACCCCAGTAGGATCACATGTCCTTGCTTAGGTTGCTGTTATGGGCGTCGAATTGACGCGGTTCAGTTGGAATCTCATTTAATGAGACATGGAATTGATCGAAGTTACACATGTTGGACATTACACGGTGAGATAAGTAACGAGAATGTTGAACCCCAGAACAATACGACCTCTACTTCAAAGGACAATGGTAGGGATACATACGATTGTGATCGAGTCGAAGATATTGCAGAAGCACTTGAAGAAGATCTTAAAGATTGTCCAAAGATGTTTGAGAGGTTGGTAAGCGATGCAGAGAAGCCGTTGTATAAAGGTTGCACTACTTTCACAAGATTGTCTGCGGTATTAAAGTTGTACAACTTAAAGGCGGGTAATGGATGGTCGGATAAAAGTTTCACAGAATTATGGGAGAACGGTGTGGAGGTTTATGATGGATATAGGAAAGAAAGTTTTAATTTGAGGTAATCGAGCGCATTTCCTCATATTTTGGGGTAATCGAGCGCATTTGGGTGTTTGATTATGAGAAGTTTCAGATTCCTATCTTTGGATGCAAGTGGGTTGAAAGTAATAGTGGCATACGTATGAATAAGTCAGGTTTTTTGCAAGTGGATCTTAATAAGGTGGGGTACAAAGATGAGCCTTTTATTCTAGCCACGCAAGCTAAACAAGTGTTCTATGTCACTGATCCGAAAAGTACGAAATGGTCTATAGTTCTTTTTTCCAACAAAGTAATCAACGATAACATTGGAGAAAAGGGGGAGGTTGATGTTGAGAATGAATCTTATGTTAGGGATGATCCAGATGAGAATATTATAGCAGACGAATCATATATTAGAAATGATCATAGCGAGGGAATTTGGATCAATCCATCCGTCCGTGTTGTTAAGAGACAAGTAAAGCACCTTCGAACTAAAAAAAGAAAAAGATGTTAAAGGTACTTGTAAAATTACATATTGTCTCATTCAATAAAATAACATATTATTTCTTATTTATATGTTTCTTATGTGTATATATATATATATATATATATATATATATATATATATATATATATATATATATATATATATATATATATATATATATATATATATATATATATATATATATATATATATATATATATATATATATATATATATATATATATATATATATATATATATATATATATATATATATATATATATATATATATATATTTCTTATTTACATATTTGAATGTCATTCATTTGATACTTTAGTTTTCCTGAATTACAGGTATATTATGGCCAGCAATGAAGATTGGAAGAAATTAAAGTAGAATTGTATAATTTGTGATGTTGAATTTCGAGTTGAGAATTGTATATAATTTGTGATGTTGAATTGTGAAGCTTTTGAATTATATATATTAAAGTGGAATTGTATACAATTTGTGATGTTGAATTGTGAAGCTTTTGAATTATATATATTAAAGTGGAATTGTATATAATTTGTGATGTTGAATTGTGCATATAATGCCAAAGTGTTGAATTGTGCACATAATGCCAAAGTGTTGAATTGTGTATATAAAGCCAAAGTGCTGAAATAAAGGGCTAAATTATATAAGCAGGTATTGTAATATAAGCAGGTTTATTGAAAAATATATAAAAAATGCCATTAATCAGGAATTTTTTTTTCAAAACGTGCACATTAGACATCGCTTTTATGTATAAGCGCTGCTAAAGGGGACAAAGAAACTGCTAAAAAAGCGCTGCTATAGGTGGGGAAAGAGGGGTCTAAGACAGCGCTTCCATAAAGCGCTGCTATAGGGGGGGTCTAAGACAGCGCTTTAGAAAAGCGCTGCTAAAGGGGGGGAGGGGAGATTACGCAGCGCTAAAAAAGCGCTGCTAAAGGGGTAAAAAAGCGCTGCTAAAGGTGATGTCTTTAGCAGCGCTTTTTCCACAAAAAAAAGCGCTGCCTTTACCTTTAGCAGCGCCACTTTAGGCAGCGCTTTAAAGCGCTGCTAAAGGTCAAAAAAAGCGCTGCTAAAGGTCTGTTTTGGCATAGTGTATTTGTAAAAGTTTAATAAGTATTGCATTTTCATTTATTCTATCTGGAGATGGCATGTTATGTTATGGTGTAAAATAGTTTATTCCTCAAATAAATATTAAAATGTCCTTGTTATTTAATTTAAAACAAAATTTATTGATTGTTGTTTTGACTACAAGACTCGTGATGAAAGGTTTAATGGAAAAGAGAAAGCATTAATGTGTGCAAAAAAGGTAAACTTATATTTTACTGAAGCAGGTAATTCTGCATTCGAGAGCTCTCCAGACTATCTGAATCAATCCAATAGATGACTACGATCAACATTTTTTTGTTGAGAATCGTTCCCAATATTTAAGATAAAATACACGTTATTTCTCAAGTATTCAAATTTATTTTTACTTTCCCATCACTTTACATTCTCTTACACACTTAAGCATTGTAGTACTAATATTGCAAGTTAACCCTTTGTCCATAGTATCAGAATCTCAAATTTATCTTATAAAACACTATTCACCGTTCATTGAACAATTCTTATTCTATAGGATTTAGAACCCCTTCCTCACTCAATGAATCCCTCATAGGCTGAACCAGTACCGATATCAACCGATCTGTTTTTAAACTTAAGGAATGCTTTCCTTACTTGAAATTTATAAGTCTCAATCTACATGAGATATTCATAATTTTTAACTGTGAAATTGAGACTACGTGACACATTTCTTCCATTGATGAGTTTTTCCCGTCTGTGGGAAACAAAATTTAATTTACGCGTATTTCCATGTTTATATCTCATCCGATCCAAAGATCTAGGTTTCCTCTATTAAAATTTTAGTTCTCTTTTTCTTGATCTTCCTCTTTGAATCTCAACTTCTTTTCCAAAAAATCCTTCTTCAGATTTATCAACCATGGTAGCATCTAAAGCCACTAGTTTCGCTGTCCAACGACAATCTGTTGCTGCTGAAACATTCAAAAATCCACTTCCTTTTGCTTAAGCAGAAGACGATATAGTCTTGATAACATCTCTATCTAATCCTTTGCAGCAAGATCCTGTTCAATTGAGAGTCAATTAAGTAGTATTACAAGCTCTTCAGTTTTTCAAATCGACACAACTATTTCATCAAAGAGACCTTTCGCATAAACCTCTACCACTCCCTATGATTCCTGGATAGCAAACTCTTCGCATAAGCTCGGGATCCAAAGAGCTACCAATGTATACAATCTGGTGCAATATCATA